ATGGTGGTGGTGGTATTGGTCATGGTGGTGGTGGTGATGGTGGTGGTGGTGATGGTGGTGGTGGTATTGGTCATGGTGGTGGTGGTGATGGTGGTAATGATGGTGATAGTGGTGGTGGTGGTAGTGGTGGTGGTAGTGGTGGTCATGGTGGTGGTGGTGGTGGTAGTGGTGATGGTGGTAGTGGTAGTAATGGTCATGGTGGTGGTGACGGTGCTGGTAGTGATATATATGGTAGTAGTAATGGAGGTGATGCTGATGAGAGAGTGGTGGTGATGGCAGTGGTAGTGGAGGCTGTGAAATAAGACGGGCAAAGCTGTCAAGCACTAGACTGACTTGAACAGGATGACGGTCAAAGCATGAGCGGAGGCAGTCCCTGCGCACGTGAGCACGGCAGTCCTGATTAACTAGAGAGGTGGAGGCCAGTGCACGGAGAGGCCAGGGAGGCAGTCTGCACGCTCAGGCCCAGCCAGGAATGGAAACAAGAGCAGCCACATGCTTCCTATGTTCCTGCTGCCTTCGTCACCTTCCTAAAGGAGGGTCACTCCCATTCAGTCTCTCCCATGCCTCTCATTCACTTATTCATTAGTTCTTCTTATTTACTGATGCATGCACGCGTAGGTGTACATCTGCTTGCACACGTACGTCTATGTCATGGTATGTACATAGGTATGCATGCATAAGGGTGTGTATGTGCATATGCAGCGTCACGAGGTGGGTGCCTCCCTTCACGGAGACTCCCACCAGATTCAAGCTATAGACAAGACTAAAAAAAAAAAGAAGGGCCGGCGAGATGGCTCAGTGTAATAAGGGCTTCCCTGGCAAGCGCAAGGGCCTGAGTTCAATCCCTGGTTCTGCAAAAAAAAAAAGGAAGGAAGGAAAGAAATTTAGACTGGGTGTGGTGATGTACTCCTGTAATCCCGGCTCTTGGGAGGCCGTAAAACAGGCGGATCACTGAGGCCGATCTAGTAGTGAGACCCTGAACACCCTGTAAACCCTTCCCTAAAATACAAAAAAAAAAAAAAAAGACCCAAGTAGCACCACAATGAGAAACAGCGGTGCTAGGAAGGAGGAGGGGCGCTCCAGGAGCGTGCGCCCAAGGGTGTGCGCTACAGTGCAGGTCGCTGGAGAGGGCCTGGGTATCGATGGCAGCCTGCAGGCAGCCAGGCTGGCGCTCAGAGGCGCTGAGGTCCTAAAGGAAAGGCAGCGCAACCCAGCTGAGGACAGGAGGGAGGTGATGCCCCAGACAGCCAGGGAACTCGGCGGGAACCACAAATATCTGGACTACAGCCCCAGCTTTGTCATCCTTGCTGCCGCCGCTTCTCGCCCCTTTCACCTTTGTTCTTTTTTTTTTTTTCTGGTGGAACCAGGGATTGAACTCAGATCCTTGTGTTTGCCAGTCAAATGCTTATCCTACTGAGCCATCTCCCCGGCCCCAAAATCGCCTTTGTTCTTTCCTGTCCTCCGCCGCCATGAGCGGTTGCTCTCTGCCATGTGCCGCTCTGCCTTCGAGCCAGCCGAGTATGGCCTGAAACCTCCACAAACTGTGAGCTAAATAAACCATTCCTTCCTTCCTTTTGGGTACTGGGTATTTTGTCCCAGTGATGAGACAAAAGTAACCGAGAGAAACCGTATGATAGTTCACCCTTGTGTCTGATTTCCTTCACCCACATTACAGTCTCAAGGCGTACCCATTTTCCTGTACATGACTCCAGCACATCCTTCTTTATGGCAGAGTAATACTCCACTGTGTATAAATGCTACGTTTTCTTTATCAATCATTCATCCGTCGATGGACACATGGGCTGCCTCTAAGATCTGGCTACTGTGAGCTGGCCAGCTACAAACATGGGTGAGCATGCGTGAGCCGCAGCCTCCGCATCTCCATGAACTCGCTCATCCGGTGCCTGCTTATCGGGCGTCTGTCCTACTAATCTGTCACTTACTTACACTTCAGAGTCCACCAGAGTGGACTCAGTCCACTTCAGAGTCCTCCCTCTTTCCCTGGCCCTTCCTGGCTGCCGCCTCTCCTATCTTCTCTTCCCTCCACTTTTTGTCCCTCTATTCATTCGCCTACCTGTCCCAACCTCCATCCATGCAAAAAATATTGGTTTAATATCCAGTAAGTGCCACCTGCCTGTTCTTAGGCAGCTTGCCTCTCCTGGGACAAAAGCCCTGACGTCTCTGACTTGAAGCGGGAAGGCTGCATTTAGGCTCATGGCTTCGGAAGTGTCAGCCCATGCTCGGGTCATTCCAAGGCGGAAATTTCGTGGTGGAAGGTCATGGTGGAGGAGAACTGCTCAATTCGTGACACCTGGGAGGCAGAGGACTGGGGAGGAGCCAGAAACAGGGGCAGAGACCTGACCTGTCTTCAGTGCTGTCCTGGGTGTCTCTTGAGCCAATCCCTTGGACAACCAAGATGAACCATCCCAGGGCTGTGCTGGGCCCACTGGGAAGAGGACGGTAAATAAGACCCAGATGCCCCCCACGTACACAGACCCTGCAGCTTGGGAGGAACGGGGTGCTGGAGTTGTGCTGGAGCTCACGCCTGCCTTATTCCTGGAGGTGCCCGGGAAGTGGGGCTGTCCACGTAGTGCCGTGGACACGTGGAGGGAAAACTCTGCAGGCTGTACCACCAAGCGAGGGCAGATTGGACGGTGTGATCATCGTGACCGAATGCCGAGGACCGAGCAGCCCGGGCTCGGGAGCACTTCAGACATAGCCATGTGCTGGTGATTTGTATTTTCGCTCAAACATATTCACAGGTGTTGTCAATTTTTGTCCGTGTGCCTGTTTGGGTTTTTGAGACAGGGCCTTTCTCTGTAGTTGAGGATCCACACGTAGCTTAGACTGTGCAGGAACCCACAGAGATCTTCCTGCCTCAGCATCCTGGGTGCTGGGACCCACAGGCATGCAGCACCACGCCCTGTTTAAAGCCATGTTGTGTCCACTCTTTGTCACCACTGCTGTCACACTGATGTGCTTTGTGCCCTTGTACCTTCTTATGGTCCCTGAGGCATTTGGATTCACAAGGCATTTGGATTCCGAAGGAGTAGAAGCGGCCTGCAGGGAACCGCTGTCTTGTTCTTTCTTCGTGTTTGTCTTTCTTTCTGTGGCATGTGTTCTCGTTTTGGAGAACTGAGGTGAAACTAAGTCATTTCTTGACCTTTTCGGACCCCTTCCCAGCCTTGTTCACTATTCCTAAATCAAATTGTGTCCTAACTTGGCTTGATCCCTTTCTGCTCTTTGGTGATTGCCGTTGCAATCAACCTTCCCAGAGTCTTCAGCTGAGTTTTGCATTTCTTTATTCCTGGATATCTTGCTAGCATATGTGCTGCCGAAGCAAGCACGCCTGTTTGTTCTGCAAAGTGACAGGGAGATGCGCCTGAGCCATCTCCCGCCACCCTCACCTTTTCTCGGGGTCCTGGGAGGGCTGTCTGCTCTCATGCCAGCCGAGCACTGCCGCTTGTGCCCGGCCAAGACTCTGCCCAGCAGGGTCTGGATTCTCCCTGGCAGCCACCGCGCCCCTTCATCTCTGTGAATTTGTGTCTTATTCCTTGTTTATCTCCAGCTTGCAAAGTGATGCCAAGTCTACCGTAGGAATTTAGAAAACATGGTCATCCGCGATGTGCATGACCCCTGGGGCACGCCTGGGCCACATCCCAGACCTCCCGGCGCCCCATTACTCTACCTCATGCCCGGCTGGCGAGTGGCCTAGCGCAGCATGAACACTACATGCACAGCTGTTTAGGGACAGTCACCAGCTGGCTGTGTCACACAGGCCCCGGAGGCTGCAGAGGCCAAGTGGGAGCGATGCATAGTTTAAGGTTAGGCAGGGCCACTCGGTAAGACCTGCGGCTCAAAAAGAAAATTTTTCAAAAAAGGCTCAGTGTAAAGACCGTCAGTTCAATACCCAGGAAAGAGGAACGGAGAGAGGGAGGAAGAAAGGAAGAAAAAATGAATGGGAAAGAAGGAAGGAATGGGACAGCAAAAGAAAAATGAAGTGAAGGGCTGGCCAAATAGCTCAGCGGATTAAAGCGCCTGCAAGCAGGCACAGGGGCTGAGGATTATCCTTCGGCCTGCTCTGCAGGCCCCACCCCCGGGCGCGCTGGG